GAGAGAGAGAAAAAAAAAAATATATATATATATATATATATATATATATATATATATATATATATATATATATATATATATATATAATGCATAAAACTAATACTTTTCTAAAAACTCAACACACATTTAATTTAACAATAAGCCGTATCATAATCCAACTCAAAAACTATTGGCAAGAAATTGTTTACTGCAGTTACCGATTTCTTATTTTTGTTTCATTTAGTTTTTAAGGAGTTCTGGTATAGGCTGGGCAGTTTTATTTTCTGTTGTGTACCAAAAAAATAAATAAATAATTAGAAAAGAAGCCAAGCAGACAACAAGTATTGAATTTGCCACGAACGATTCCTAATCATATGGCAAATTCAAAATGTGCCTCCAGGCTAGAAAAGCTGTTTCAGTTACATCAGCAGGTTTGTACTTACAAATCCATAACCTCTGGATTTCCCCGTCTGCCGATCGGTGATAACAACAGCCTCCTCGATGTCTCCAAACACTTCAAAATACTTTCTCAGGCTGGAGTCAGTGGTGTGATAAGGAAGGCCTCCCACGAAGATCTTGGTGAAGGTAGTGTCTTTCTGTGCCGAGTGCATGATTTGTGGATTAAATTGTCCCGGTCGGAGTTTTTCTTTTGGGGTTAAACTAAACGGGAAGGAAACGCGTGTGGCTGGTCGGTGAGGTGGTGTGACGGACTGGCAGAGGACCTGAAGCAGGAGGAGGACACCTGTTAGTTTGTTGTGAAGCTCTCCCAGTTGTCAGCTCGTGTGACACAGAAACTTAACTCCACCCACATCTGCAGACCACCACTCAGAGTTCAGGCTGCCTACTGTCGCACAGCTGCTGCAACAGTGGCAAGGACACTCAATGGAGGCCAGAGGCCTGGAACGCTTTAAACATCGACAAGGAGTTTTTGTTTTTTTTCACTCTGATAGAGTTTTTCAAACTTTGCATCTCGGTGTATAAGTGTAAATCTGTTCAGCTTAAGATTGTTATTATTATTATTGGAAATGCTACAATTTACTCTGTTTAAAATTATGGATGCACTGCTGTAAACATACATTCCCCTAAATCAGGGGTCTGCATGTGACCCACTACTGTAGCTTTTAGTCCAAAAATGCTAGCGAATAGAGCAATGTTCGAAAATACATCGATAATTGTAAAATACTAACCTTAGCAGTTTTTCAGTAGTGATTTTTAATTAACATTCCCAAAAAAGAAGAGTAATAGTGTAAGGAATATGCTTTCTTATCATTTTTATCAATATGTTCCAGAATATACATGCTTTTGAATTATTTTAAGTAATGTAATACTAAATTTGAATTTAAGAAAATGTATTAGGCCTTAAAACAAATAAATGTGAAAAAAATGACATATAGATAGTACAAATACAAGCTATATTGTCTTGAAGCGCCATGTTGCTTTTGTGGCTCTAAAAATGTTTTTAGGTTGACTGAGGGCAAAAATGACAACTGCAGACCAAAATATTTCAATACGTCAAAAGTCCTATTCATTTCTTTGTAGAGATCACAGACAGAGAGACAAATGAGATAACAGACTGGGTGATGGATGGACAACATACAGACGGACAGACTGATGACTGAGCAGCCGGATGGATGGTGGATGGAGGAACAAATTTGACATCTTTTATTAAAAAAACAGCAACATAAAAAGCAGTCTGACTGGCATAACGTCTATCACGCAAATAACGGCACAGGGAATAAGGTCTTAAAATGCAAAATTTGTTCCACCTCTAATTGATGGCTGTGTCCTGAATGTCTGAAACCACACATAATGAAGCATTATGCTCAAACAGCGATGCTTTTTTTCTTTTCTTCTTTTTAAATGAAGAGACAACACACAAAAACTGATTGTAAATGTTCTATTCTAGAACACTGTGTACCAACAAGATACATTATAAATACAATTCTGTACAATAGTGTAAATACTATGTTCAAATACATTTACATTAACAACTCCTTATTAGGGAGAGCAGCTTTGTTCTCTTCTTTAAAGTAAGGTCTTGGGTTTGTTATGTTTAAGTGAAATTGCAGCTTGATTATTTTTCTGGACAGGTTATAACTTTCATTAAAAAAAAAAACTTTAGAGGAAAAGTAATCTTCTTACCTTAATAAATCTGTTGTTTCTAAATATTCATCCAATCCACCATGACAGGAAGGATCGTATTCTGCATTTCACATAAGGTCCATACTCTTTTGATATGATTTATAGCTAATTATACAGGGGGTGTCTTTGCAAATAACACAATAAGGCATATATTTGTATATCCAGGCTTCTGAGCAATCACTCACAGTCGTCAGGGTTACGAACGTTTAATCTGTCCTGTATGGAAGACAGTCGGAGAGCTTCCCAAGAATCCTTTCCAGTGCAACCTTTTCTCATTCAGTCTCAAGCCGAACGGGATTTATTTCCTCCACAGTGTTACAGTACATCAACAGGGTAATTCCTGCCAGCGAACGCTGAAAGCTGCTCCCAGGTTTGGCAGATTTCTCCTGTTTCAACTTTACGTGGCATTGCTCCTACAGATATGGCACTAAGCTTTACGAGGACATGTCGATTTATAGTGAGGGTGTCCATGTGTAGATACAATAGGAAAAAAAAAATACAACATAACACTTGTAACAGCAGATATGGAACCGTAGTTCTTTGGTTAGCCCTGACGTAACATATTGACGTAAATATCAAAAGTTTATGAACAGTAGTACATTCTTAATCTTCGAATCCCAGATCACTTCATGATGAGCCTCAGAGAGGGTCGCGTTCTGTAATACAAAAATATTACATATATTCTTCAGAAGCAATGTAAGAAAACTTAGGCGGATAATATTCCCAGATAAAAGTCGAGTCCTCTATAAAAATATGAGCATATAGAAAACTCAGATATGTGCATAGTGATTTTGTTTGTTTTTTCAGTGAACAGCAACTACAAAAAATACTTCATTAAATGCACAGGTAAGATATGCCTTTGAGCAAAGCATCCACACAAACAGCACATCAGTGGTCAGAAGTTAGCCGTCGGGGTCAGACTCGGGACGTGAAGGAGAGGAGTCACTCCTGGGTCATTCACATCCCTCAGAGAGCAAGTTCTTCTTTGGGTCCTGTTTGATGAAAGTCTGGGGTTCTGTTTCCATGGAGGGAGGCCCTCTGGTGAGCCGAGATGGTTTGACAAACACACCGTGGCCTGGGGGACAGCGGAAGTACACTCTGCCTTGGACAGTCCCGTTGTGCTTACCTAGAGAAGAATATAAGTGCTTACTAGTATTAAGGAAAGAGTTAATGCAGCTATGGAAACAAATTTGAGATCACTTATAATTATCAGTTTCTCTGATTTTACTTTTTATATTTATATGTCTGAGTAAAATGAACATTGTTCTTGTATTCTATGAACTACTGACAACGTGTCTCTGAAAATCAAAGCAGAAATGTGGTATTTTTTTGCAGAAAATGAGAAAAAAATAACAAAAAAGATGCAGTGCTTTCAGACCCCACATAATACAAAGAAAACAAGTTCATGTTCATTTAGAAACAACAATACTTCATAGTTCAGCAAATCAGTATTTGCTGGAATAACCACGAGGTTTTCAATGGGGTTCAATGCAGTGGCCTCTTCATTTTTTTTTTCTCCAGCGCTGTATATTAGTAATGAATATAAAAAAAATGCTTTCTTAAATACTGAATACATAGTTTACCACAACATGAATAGCAACTTTCATTGTAACTTTTTCTATTGGTTATTTTCGCTTTGGAAAAAAAAAAAAAAAATTACAAAAATGTTTTTAATAAAAAAGTGTTGTAGAGTCAGAATGATGTGTACTTAATAGAGGTGTGGCGATCGATCGGACACCGATCATAATCGGCCGAGGAATGTACTGCCACTGTTGGTGAGCCAGTACATTTCTCTCTTCTCCCTTTGAAAACTAAAAGTGTGCCTTTAGTTGGGCCATGCAGTTTCAACAAAAAAATAAATAAAATAAGAACCACATGTAAACCGGTAATGTTAGAAAATTAATTTCGCTCCGTGAACGCAAACATGTTACTTACCCATTGCCACATCCAGCTTGACACCAATCCAGATCCCCTTTGCGAACTCCACTCCTCCTACATAATAGACTGTTCCTCTTCTCTTCCCTACCCACACCTGCTCCCCAGGTGCCATCCAGTCAGGAAGCTGAGCTACAGGGGTGCTCTCATCCCCGCTGGAGTCTCCGGAGGGCTCTGCGCTGCTGGGGTTCGGACTGGGGCAGGGGCTCCCGTGAGGCAGATCTCCCTGCGCTGGTTCCTGGATAGGAGGCTCTCCTCCCGCTCTTTGAGCTGGGCCAGAGGATCGCGCTGTTGGTAAAGGTTTGATTTCAGACGCTGACGCTGGAAGTGGGAGTGATGTAGAGGGATCTTTGGAGGAGGAGGTCAGGGTCAGGCCTCTATCGGGTGCAGTGATTGGGGCGTTTAACGAAGTGCTCGGTACTTTCGTGTTGGCGCTAGACACAGCTATGCTGGCAGGGTTTGCGACGTTAGGACATCTGAATATTACATTGTCAGTGTCAGACGAGAGCTGATTGTCATTGTCGTGAGTCTTTACATGTTCTGGTTCCTTCGGGTGGCTTGTAGAAATTTCCAAACCATCCTGTCCCCATTTCTCAGTAAAATGAGCCAAATCCCCTTCTCCAACACTGTCATCAGCCCCTTTAAAGTCAGTGAACTCCTGGCTGGTGCTGAGGATACAATTATGAGGCAGTGGGACACTGTGCTGCTTACTTGTGCAGTTAGGAATAGTGACAGGTGAAGAGGGTGGATGGATGAGCTGTTCACAAGCACCACACGCTGAAGGAGGCTGCTCCACGTTGCCCCCTGCTGCAACACTTTTGGTCTGTGCAGAGCTTCGCCCAGCAGGGTCGTGGGACTCTCTGGAGGGACAGCTCAGGTGGTCGGAGCTTTCACTGGTGCTGAAAGGCACGTCGGACAGAGTGGCATTGGATTCACTGTGGGAAAAGTAGCCGCTGGTGCAGCTGCTGGCCGTGGGGCTTCGGGACACGTCCCTGTCACCGCTCCCACCTCCACACCGGCTTCCCTTCGAGTCAGAGCGAAACCCGTCATGGCTCTCCAGAGTGGCGTTGTATATCTCAAAGTTTGCAAAGTCCTCTGGGATGTAACTCTGGTAGGTGCTTTGGTCCAGTGGGCCCCGATTTAGATTCAGAGAGACATCCGCGTCCTCGTCCTCAGAGTCGTGCTGATCAAAACAGAGGCAGTAAGACAAAAGTGGAACTTAGCTTATGTAGTACTGTGATCTATGTAATCAGTCAGAGTTACAAAGAGGATGGAGGCCATGAAAATAGTCAGTGATGATGAAATGGAAACATGATTTATGGATTCTGTCATGCAAGAACAAGTGAGGTCATGCGTTCAACCTGAAGATTGGTGTTTTGATCTCCTATACTAGTTTTTTGGGGGATGGCAAAAATAGTGACAATCCCACTATTACACTGTGATTGTGATTAGTTTTTACCTTTAATCTGACATATATCCTGTGCAATTAATCTTAAAAACAAAACAGTGTTACCAATAGAAAAATACAGGAATTAATCTCTTGTCCATTCTAATGAGACTTGTTTGTCAGAATAAAAGCACCTTTTGAAAATAACTGCCTATCAGCAGGTACTGAGCCTACATTTCATTAACCCGATTGATTAGATTTACGATTATTGATCACAGGTATGGAATTGAGAAGACTAGATATGATTGTTTTTTCTCTCAAACAGATGTTGGTTTTAATTTTGAATCATAGAATGTATGTAACATGAAAGGTGGCCACAAAAATATTAGCTGTAAATATGATTTCTCAACAACAACAAAAAAGAAAAACAATCTGATATTCTTGGTACCTCTAACCTCCTCCTGTCTGCATGAGCTGTAAATGTAAATTTATGATCAACCACCTAAAAATGTCGCCGAGTTGTGTGACTCATAGTTCACAGAATGACTCGTGTAGTAGCAGCAGCAGCTCAGGGAGCAGCTGAGGCTCTCTAAGTAGAGTCAATCAAAGTAAGAACACAGTGTGACGCCACTGTCGTAAGCAGCTAATGAGCCAGCATGTGTCAGGAAAGTGCAGCTGTATGTTTACGGCCCGCATATGTATGTTGGTGAAGCACTTACAGCAGTGAGTGACTGTGTGCGGCTGAGCTGCCTGCTGGTGACAGCGGAGGTGGGGGTGGAAGGCTTGCAGTGGCCCTCGCTGCCTGCCCTGGGTCGGCGCCAGGAGCAGGGAGAGGGGAGCAGTGCAGGGCTGTCCACAAGTGAGCGCATGCTCTGCAAGATGGGTCAGAACGACAGCACACGCTTCACACTCACACAGCATGCATGGAGCGGGGTGGGCTGGTTACACAGTTAGTGCCATGCAGTTTACTATTTCACAAAAACAGTGCATGAAGTGCCCTAAATTAGAGGTGCAGGAGCGTTTTGTTGCAATAAACATGCAGAATAGTGCAAATATGTTACTGATTTATTTCTTGTATTTTGCGTCCAAAAAATGATAAGTTGTAATTATTAATCAATAGGTTGTCAAGTTAATCTTTGGACTTTTGCTGATTTAAAATTTTTTTTTTATTATTATTTTCAGTGAAAGCATTTGACAATTTTCAGACAAAAGAAGTTTCCTTCGTAGGACGCTCAACTAAGACTGACTCAAGTCCCAACAACCATCAGGATGAGCAGATGTTCTGTTGTTTCACGCCAAACAACAGAGATGCTTTTGGTAAAATGAATTGTAGTTTATTTAAAGAAATGCGACAAAAAGATACAATTTGTATTTCCTCAACTTAATCCAGCCACTTATGAACGATTTAAATTTTTATACACACACTGATTTTAAATTGAAGTCATATGCACTTCTCTTGTCAACAGTGTGCCAGAAAGTTTGACAACAGTAATAAAGTTTGGTCTTGGGTGCCTCATTCTTTTCATTAGACCTGCTGAGCAAATTTGAGCGTGTTTATCGAAATTTTATATGACGTCTTTGCCTCAAGATGTGTATGAGATACAGATGTTGCACAGGTGCTTATGCTCTATAAAGAGTTGTAACCTATACTATAGAGCATTCATTCTGATATTTACATCTGTGGAGAACTTATTATATAGGAAAAAGAGTAAATAACCTGGCAAAGTCCAAAGAAAAACTTTCAGCGAAGCCTGAAGACCTACTGATTATGATCAGTTTCTTAGCTTAGCTTAAAATGCTACAAATGATGTATCAATGTAATGCTGTTTAGTGTTTTCATTCAGCTGTTTTAAGACTGCTTACATCAAATTAACTTAACATAAACCTAATTTAGGACACTTTACCAATAAAAACAAAATAAATCATAGTTATTTCAATTGGTCAGAGCAGTCACATACTGGAACATTCAATAATTACAAACATAATCACACAAAAGACTGCAGGCAGCAGGATTTTTGTTAACTGAAGAGAATATTTTTAGCTTCGAGTTATTCTTTGGCCAATGGGATATTCCAAATAATGTGGAGGATCTTTTCTTTCCGTTCGCCTTTTTCTTTTTTTTCTTTTTTTAAAAACAAGTTTAAAATGGAATTTTAATGGGGTGCCAGGTGAGATGTAAAAAGTCAGGACGGACAAAACAATGATACATGGAGCTGAGGAAGAATCAAATGGCGTAAGGAGGAAAATATAAGACATGAATCCTCAAAGAAACAGATTGAAGTCATGCCCTCTTTACCGTCATTCCCAGCAGCGGCCGAGCCTCCAGTGCTTTCTTTGCCTTGTTCTCCTCTTTGACAGGAAGCAAAGACTTGAGGAATTTGGGTGGCTGAGGGGAAAGAGCTTTGAAGGGGCTGGCGCTGAAGAAGGTGGAACTCTCTGGACCCGATCCTGTGTGGAAATATTAAATAAATGATCGTTTTTGTGCATGTTGTCAAAATGCAGTTGACGTGGCTGACTTTGTTCTGCTTTACCTGAGTTCTGATTGTTTTTAATGGGTGTGGTGCAAAGGGAGACATCTTGAGGGTTGCAATTGGAGCTGTCCGCATGATCACAGAGCTCCTATGCAACAATACACAGTCCCAGAAGATATCATGAGGTTTATGAGGCATTTTATTCACTTGGGTTTAGCACAGAATTATTTGAAACATTCAAATCGATCAAAGAATGTGTCTCAGCAAAAGTGTAATCATTTTCCAATAAAAAATAAAAACAGTTATAACTTTGTTATAATCTCTTCAAATCTCCTGATACAGATTTCTTATTTTTGGATGTACTTTTACCAGCACAATAATAATAAAAAATGAGTGCTTTAAATGAGGTTAAGCCATGCCTGATGAGTCCTGCCATCTTCATCCTCAGTCAGGTCTATTTTACTGCACGAAGACTGCGGACAAAGGGAAAAAAAGTGACTTCCTCACACCATAAATTGCATGTGTTCAGCTGCAAAAGGTTGTGTTAATTACATGCTGTACATTTGGTGTGCTTGCGCTCCTTCGCAAATGTCTCCCTTTAGCTGCAAGCGCTTCCTTCACCGTCACAGCCTGCGAAGAAACACAAGGACAGATCTGTTTCTGCTGCTCTAGGCAGATCTGCAGTCTGTGATCTTCTGACTCTTTATGAACTTATATATAGAGAGCCTAATGCTGTTAATGTCCAGGCAAAAAATAGCAGCAGCAAAGTACTGGTCAAGGCAGTTTGTTTATTTACATTGAACTTTAAAAGAGAATCAGCCTCCAGAGCAAAGTTTTCTTGAAAGGATGACTTTGCACTGCATTTAGAAAGTGTGAAAAGGTGACTAGATAAAGATGTCTATTCATATCCAAATACAGCTTAAAGCCTGGTCATAGATTAAATTAGCTAACCAAGCCCTGACCTTTAACATCTTTGTTTAGGTTCAATTTAGACAGGATATATGAGTTAAAAAAAATGTCAAGTTTTTAACCTTCTTTTCTGGGAAATTGAAGGACCATCCAAATTTAAACAGCCAGCAAAAAAGTTGTCAATTTATTTCCAGTGTTCAGGGGAACTATGACAGGCTGAAGAGAACACTGCCAGTCAGTTCACCACTTCACCATTTCTTACTTTTGGACTTTGGTAATTTCCAAGATGAGTACAAAAAGCAGCTTTCTGGCACAATATATTTCATACTGATCACATGTCAATCTGAACCGGCCTTGAAGACATTTCTCCAACAACCGATGACTAAGAAATTTCCTTTGACGAACACAACCAAATGTGGCTCTGTGAGTCTAACAGATATCTCTTCTCCTTGTCTTTTCATAGGAGAAACGAAAACAGAGCTCGAACCACGATCACTGGAAGTAGCTTGTAATATACCACCTTAAGCAAATAAGATGCTGAAGATGGCACAATTCAAATAGAATTGAGTTCTATTTGAGCTTTTGCTTTTTCTTTATTTTTTGCTGAATTACTAACAAAGTAATCCAGCATCATTGTTTGTGACTGTGTTTCCAAACTATCATACAAGAACTGTTTGAACAGTGTATGAGAGTCTTATGGAGCAGCAACTAAGTAAAAATATTACAGCATTTAAACAAAAAAGGGGACTAAAAATAAATTATTTTACATGCAGTTCTAAACAATCAGATATGACTTTCTGTATGAGAGGAAAAGGCAGCACTCTTTCAGCCCACAGCGTGCAGTGGGAGGTGGGGAAGCACTTCACCACCAATAACTCCTGACATTTCATTAAAATGACTTTAAACCTTAGGGACAGTTTTGAAACCTGTTTAAATCTTGGTGCATCTTGACACTTGTAAATGTACCTATGAGATGCACAGGAACATTTTAACTCAGTCATCTGCAAAAACTGCATTCAGCTGCTTCAGTCCAAACTGTGGTTTACATTACCGGAATCAGCTGAACCAGGTTACATTTGTGACACCTGTGTGTGTCAGAGAGTAAATCAGTGTGTCTCATACCTGTCTTAGTCTCTCTAAGCTCAAAATGTTCTCCACTTCCAGAACCCCTCTGGTGTATTTCTCTATGTATGTGTCTCCATCCTGAGTTTCTTCACTGTCGCCTCGAGCAGCCATGAGGGCTAAGGTTTCTCTCTCCTCTGGCTCCTCTGATGCCTGAAGGGACAGGAGAGAAAATGATGATAAAGATAAAACTCTGAGCCTTTAGTAATATGTTGAGGAACCTCAATATGGTTTTAAATTCATGTATTTGTAAGCATGACTCAGCGCCGTACCTTTGGTATGTTGGAAACAATCTCATAGATGACACCGCAGGAGGAAAGCATGTTCTTTTGAGACATCCTCCTCTTGAGACTCTGAGTGAAACTCTGAGTGAAACAAACCAGAAGCATAAAACACAACTCACCACAGGAAGCCTCCATGTTTTCGACCTCTGACCCATTCCCAGAGTACTGACCTGCTTGTTGTAGATGTTGACAGCAATCCTCTTGCGGAGGACCAGCTCCATGGAGGACGGGTGGCTGAGCTGCACGGTGGCTTTAATGATCAGGTAGATGCGCTCGTTGGGTGACGTGACCCGGTTGAGGTGCACAGAGTCGTGGATCGACGAGTCCCAGGAACACACAGCCAGCACCTGGTGGGGCACAGGAACCGAGTTTTTGATACATGCAGTTCCAGAGACAATCGCACAGAAGGAAGCTGTGAGTGGCTAACAGCTCGTTCAGAAACACGGAGTTGGGTTTCTGAGTGTGATTGTACTTTTAGGACAGTTTCACATAGTAAATATATCAGAGATAACTGCACAGTTTTTGTTGGGGTTCAGTTTTTTTTTTTTTGTTAATAATAAAATTAAAAATATATTCACAACATTAAAATGTTTACAAAACATTTTTCTTCCAACTCAAAGGCCTTTTTCTGTATTTGCGCCACCAGAGGGCAGTATATTCACTGCTCACCTCCTCATTGCTGTGTCTGATGATAGGCAGGTAGAAAAACTGGCTGCCATGCTCTTTGGGCAGGATAGAGTTAACTCCAGCAGTGTGTGGTCCCGTCAGCTGCTCATTCACTGTCAGATTATCCGCTGGCGGAAAAAACCAACAGCAAAAAGAAGAAAAAAAAAAAAAGCTTAGAGTTTGGAAAGACAAGGAGGAAGCTGTGAATAAAGTGGTTTTATCCTCACTCACCATTTAAATCCAGAAATAGGACAGGAATGTGAGCCTCCATCCCTGCAGGTGGGATCCTATATGCAGATTAATATAGTTAATGCTTGGAAAAGTCAAAAGGGTACATCAAAACTAAATAGAGTGTGTGCGTATTTTTCTTTCTTACCAGTCTGCAGGAGCTCCGGGGATGCCGCTGCCAGCTGCCGGCACCAGCACTGCGTTCCTCTCCTCAGTCAGGCCGACCCACTGCTCCACCAGCCGGGCCTCCCTCTCCACGTCCTCCTCCGACTTTTCTGAAAACACAAAACCAAGAACAGAGTTTTAATCGAAACGTCACTGATTGCTTCCCTTTCGGCCGCGCAAGTCCTCGAACCGACCGTGTTTGTTGATGATTTTCTTGATTTGCTCATCAAGATACTCCCGGCGTTTGATGAGGGCGTCTGACCAGCGCTCTCTCACGCAGTTCAGGTCTTCCTCCTGGAGCCAGACAGAGAATCAATGTCAGCTGGCTAAATGGGGCAGATGACCTGCTGCAGGGAACAGGCTAGTGCTTCCCTAGGTGAAGTGAGTGCTTACAGGTCTCACTTATCTGAGTACCATTACTCTTTCTTGATAAAGCATTCACAATTAAGAAATAAACTGAAGGTGTTAAAATTAAAAGCACATGTTACTGCATGATCGACAGTGCCTTACAAAGGTCTTCATGTCCCATGAACCTTTTTTGTCCCTTAACAACACCTCTCAAGGTCTTTTATTGACGTTCTATGTGATAGACCAACACAAAGTAGAGGATAATGGTGAATCATAAATTGTTTGGAAACATTTCTTGCTAAGTGTGGAATACATTTTGCGTGGCAACAACTTTGCATGTCTGGAGACCGAAACTTTTCCCAATTCTGTAGCTTTAAAAATATCTGCTGGTCAGTAAGACTGGGTGGAAACTGTCTGTTCACAACAATTCATTTGTTAGTAATTGGTTTTAGGTCTGAACTTAGACTGGGCCATCTCACACATGAGTATGCTTTGACCGAAACAAATGGCAAGAGTTGCTGTCCTGCTTTAAGGTGAACCTCCACTCTAGTTTCAATACTTTCTTGACTTGAAACTGGCTTTTTGCAGGATTGCCCTACCAAAACCTTTAGTTTAGGTGAAAGGACACATTGTGGCAGGCTTGCAGTTATGCTGTGCTCCTTCTAATTCAGAATAAGGAATTAAAGCAGTTTTCTGTGACATGTCCAAAGCTCAAAATATTATTTTATAAAATAAACCCTACTTTAACGTTCTGTCCAGTGTTATACCTGACCTTTCTGCTATGCTCCTTGTTCTATATATTGACTAATGTTTTCCAACAAACCTCTGAGAACTTAAGCAAAGAGCTTTATTTATACTCAGAGAAACTTCCACTATGCATTTACCTATTTACACATCTAGGGGTATTACAGTAAAGGTGGTTGAAATAAACTTTATGTCACTTTTCAAATTTCTATAATAAGAAAAGACTTTAAAAACATACATTGATTTCTTTCACTTTTTAAATATGCACACGTTGTGTTTGTCTACAACATTAAACCCACATTAAAGTTTGTGGTCGTCTGAGTTAAAAACAGTCAAACAGGTAAAAAATACTTTTGTTTGAAACCCTTCTTAAACCTCTAGTAACCCATAAACGTCAGTCGCACATTTGCATGCCCTCCTCGTCTACAATTATTACCCTGAGTCCTACCTGATTATAAGGCACATCGGTCTGCCATTGTCACAGAACCACAGACCAGACAGCAGTGAGCCGATTTCCATCTGCAGCACGGCTTTTTACTCAACAGACCTCAAAGCCAAACAAGTTATGCCTCTGACATCAGCACACTTTCACCATGCAATGTGCAGTAAATAATGCGGCCATGCAATGTCGATGGGTGTAAGCGAGGGTTGTTACTTCAGCTATTCAGCGGTGACATGCAATAAGTGGCATCAATGTGCACGTCCTGAAGTGGAAAGAAAATTGAGCAAGGGATGAGACCCTGGCAGACATGCTGCTCCGGGTGTGCCAGCTCAGCCGCGGGTGGAGCTGTTTTTCACATCAACAAACTGCTGGTGCAATGGATAATTACAGCGTCAAAAATCATCCACATGTTTACAGATGCCGTTTAATAAAGCATGTTTTTTTTTTAGTCAAACGAGGGAGTTGCCTTTACGAACACATGATCAATTGGCCTCCCTCATGCTGCGTAGTGAACTATGAGGTGGAGAACAGCAGCAGGAGGAGACATGGAGGGTACCTGATAACTATCCATATCGTCTTCCGCCTCTTTCTGGCAAGGGGAGAGGACACTCAGTCAAAGGTGAGGAAACCAGAGCAAAAACTAGGAGTAAAACTAGGAGCAAAACATCTACAAATCCCAATTATTTATTTTGTTATTATAAAAGATAAGACAAAAATGTTGCTTAGGACACAATGGTGAATTTGTAACAAAACTAAAATTGTAATGACAAGCCTACTGTACTGACAGCCTGCCTCTGGGAAGTCAAGGAACAAAATGAGAGCAGCACTAATCAATAGTCCAGCAATTGGAATCTGCAAAATTTCTATTTTCGTTTGTGGTCGATAATCAGCAGGTCTAATACTTGGAAATTGGATTCTTATATATTAAATGGCTTAAAATATCCTACTACTACTTTTGGTATTATAATGGGAGCGTCAACCAACAATACATACTTTGATACATTTTATATTTTATTTAATCAGTCAAAGATTGTAAACGTATGCCAATAAGTGTCCCTAATGGTATTCAGACAAAAAAAACAACAACATTCAAGTAATAGGGAAAGCTATGTTACTATAAAACATAATTAGAGAATAAAAATAAAGGAGAAAAAAGTAAAATATATAAAGAAATGTGCAGAAGTAAAGAAAATATTGACAGAGTATTTAAATAATATATACATAATATTAAATAATTTATGTTAAGAATATATCAGAAAACTGTCAAATTGGAAGTAATGAAAAACAATGGTAAAACCAAGTCTAAAATATTAAATTAATTAAATATCCATTAAATTAGTTAAATATCCATTGCCATGTGAACTAAATGTTTTAAAAAAAATTTCCCCCACACATATAATAGTGTATCTTTAATGATTTATAACCAGGTTTTGCTTTTTTTTTTTTTCCATTTGATTTTCAAGAAACCATGTAAAAGTAAATTTTTTTTCACCCAGATTGAAAAGCCTCTTAAAGGCAACACAGAGAAGCCAGAAACCCTGAAAGCATTAACAGAAAATCCATGTGAATCTAATACAGGAACCCAGCAGCACACCCGAGTTGCTTTTCTCCAATGATATAAACCTACACAGGCTGATTCAGCACGATATTGTATAACTCTGGCACAATGTGAGCATGCTGTTCTCAGACAGATATCTGCTTTCATCCCTTTGCACACCCTCCCATTGATGTCAAGCCTATTTAGTCCAACACATGTACAGGCTGTTCAGACTTTAAAAACGTGCTTTTCACAGACCTGGTAGCTGTCCAGTGGTCTTTGCAGCTTAGTGGAGCGAGCCGACACGCAGCCGATCGACACAGACAGCACAGCCTCCACCAGCAGAGGCAGTGTGCCCGAGTTCTGTACCGGCTTCACACACACCTGGAGTCTCCTGGAATGACCCTGCTCACACAGACATGTTGCACGTGTTTGCCGTCGCTCCGTCAGTCTTAAGATGAAGTAGGATCCCCTCCCTTATCTTCCTCTGACCTGTCTGAGTTGGAAGATGCCTCCCGTGCTGACGTCCTTTGAAGGTTGCAGCTCCACAGACGTGTACTCCCCCTGCTCATTCAGCTCCTGGATGGAGATCCACAGCTCGATCCTGCGAGACACTTCGTTCCACCTTTCAACAAGCAGCAGCAGCAGCAGGGATTGAGCCTGGTGTAAAGTCTGAGCCTCAGGTATTACCTTCAGAGGCCAGGAGGCCCATAGTACCTGTCTCGGAGCGTCTGGGTCTTTGCCTCCAGAACGTCTAACTCCCAGGGCGCACGGCCGTTCCCGGCACAGCGGTGGCCCCACACTTCGATAGCCAAAGCACCATCTGATATAAACTCCAAAAACTCATCTGTCACATGCACAACATGGTCCTGCATGAAACAAAAATGTTTTTAATATTAGTTTAATATTAAAAGGGAAATAAGAGTCTTTATTTTGTCTAGTGTAAGGAGTTTTTTTTCCCATACTTTGGAGTGATCAAACTGGACTGTAAACTGAGAATCTGGGCTTCGAGGGGAGGGAGCATCTGGGCTGACCATGGGAGGAGCCACGGTGGGCTCGCTGTGCTCCCAGAAGGTGTACTGACAGAAGACAAAGTTGGACAGGTTGAGCGGCAGTCCCGTGGCCTCCTTGATCCTCACCTGCAGCGGCGAGGAAAACAAACAGGATGCAGATTATGTTTGCTGGTAATCCCAGTAATTAATCCTTAGAATGAAATGGCAGATGACCCCTATATCTCTCTGGTTCTAGAGGTAAAAGGTGTCTTTTACCCTACAGGTGAGCCTTCTGGCCATGTGCACAATCTCCCCGTTGGTGTCCATGACCTCATAGCAGCTGCTTTCACTGGAGTTCTCCGACGAGTCGTCTCCCCCGGAGAGGCGCTCCGGTACCGATCCGCTCACCCGCATGAGCTCCACGTGCAACCTGCCTGCTACCTGAACACAATGACAAAAAACATGGTTTTCAAAGTAGAGCAAAAGCAAAACTTTCCGCTGTATAACAAGCATATGTGTTTGAACAACAGGCTGCAGTGCATAATTGTAAAGTGAAAGAAAAGTCATAGATGTTTAAGTATATTTTTACAAACGAACTACATTTACAGTCACAAGTCTTCTGGGTATGTATATCTGAGCTTTACACATTATGAAAAAGTCAATATCGTTTCTTTACAACTTCTTTGCAAGAAATTTGCATTATTATTTTCACCTCTCCCTGCTGGCTGATGATTGGGACAGCATATTGTAATTTGACATCATGGAAAAGGCACTCTAGAAAAATATTGGCCACGCCGATCAGGTTGTGGTTCTCTTGGCCCTCGTAGAAAGAATCACAGCTCTTTCTGTTTGATTTGTTATGCTGTGAAAAGACAGAAGAAGAGTCATTTGTCTCTTTTTTTAATCTGATGTTATGCTCACTCCTTCTGTATTTTGTTTTTCACCTGTTCCTCTTTGCCTTCTTTCCAGTCTCTGTAATGGTCTCTCATGTCGACCAGTTTGTTCTCCAGCTTCTCAATGGTCCACACCTGGGTCCCCTTTCCTTTCCTACGTACCTGAATGGCTGGCTCGCTCACGATTGCTCCACGCTACATCAAAAATAGATAAGGGTTAGGATCTGAAGTGTGTCTCTTAACATTTACATATTCGTCCTGACTTGCAGTCCGCACAAAAAAGGTGGCGGTATTTTTAAGAGGTGGCGCTCAAGAGGTCTGACCTTGCGGTTGGCACTGAGGTTGGCAGCAGGAATCTGAAGGGTGACCTGGTAGTCGGTGAGTTTGCTCATTTCCTCAGCCAAAAAGTTGGCTTCTCGCACCAAAGTGTTGGCCTTGACGACCTGCTCCCTGAGTCGAGACAGACTCTGGCGGAAAAGCTCGTCCCTGCCTCACAGAATGTGTCACAGACATACAGACAGCTGATTAGAACAAAGCGTTCATTCATGAGGTGGAAGAATTATGATGTTGTTCATACAGAAGATGAAAGTGTCTTTGCAGATATATTTAAATCTATAGTAGTCAAACGGAAATGTACTTGGCAATTCAGCTGTTTGGAATCATCTGAAAGAAAAAAATCTGACTAACCTGGACAAAGTTGTTTACTAACTTGATTTACTTAGTTGTTGCATCCCATATGAAAAAACAGTAGTGATATATAAAAGTTGTGTCTATATTTGAGGAGAAAAGGTTGAACATTAGCAATTCCACCACTTCTATTTGGGGAAGTTTTAAACTGTGACTTTTCTAACCTCCTGTAGCAATTAGCTGTGCTAGAGGACAAATGCTAGCATTGTATACAAGAAGAACCAACAGTATGTTCAGTTTTAGCTATGACTTTTATTTTTACCACATAAATCTTCTTCCGCCTCTTTCTGCTTATGTAATATTGATGACAAGTCAAGTTGCTATGCCCATTTAACACCACAAGGAGGCAGTGCAGCAGGTTTGTCTGCATGTGTTTCATTCCATCTTTGGGTCAAACTCTGCTCACCGTTCCTCTGTCCACAGCCTCAGCTTGCCGTGGGGAGTGTGTGTCGGGTAGGCGAGGCGCTCGCTGCTGTTTCGGTGGTACTGCTGTGTCTTCTCCGGAGACAGCTGTTGCCGTAGCGACTCCAGCTCCCGTTCATACATGAGCCTTTGCTCCTCGAGAGCAGTGCGCTTCTCCTCCAGGTACTGCTTCTCCAGCACCTGGACCACATTCTGCATCGGGTCTGTGAATGTGGACAGAAACAGATCTTGTATTCCAATGCGTAACATGAAATAATACACTTTCTTTGTTGTAGTTTGCAAAGAAACAGATGGCAGAAGTCGGAAAAGTAGAATATAAAAGTCTACAACTCAAGGATGAATTGCGATATTTAAATAAGAGCTGCTGCATCGTCCTAATCATACCATTGTTTCCAAGAGTCTTCATTATGACTTCCATCTGGGCAAACTCATAGCTGTAGTCCTGCTCGGAGGAAGCCTCGCTGGCCGTTTCCACATCTGCCTCCACAAAGCTCTCCCTGGGTGAAGCTCTCTCCAGCTCCTTCAAACGGTCCCGCCGCTTCCGTTTCGGCAAATTGATTCTGAAAGGCAACGCAAGACCCAATCAGTCCCTTTCACGACTCACGACCAACCTTTCACTTTTGCCAAAGATAGTTTATGGATAAATGTATCAACAACCCCCTTTTCATGCAAAAAGTCCAGTTTTTGATCTTTCCAAAGGACTAAGACAGCAACCGGTAAAGGTTTTAAGTGACATGCAGTGTATCCTGTGACGCACCAAAAATGTCTGTCTTTGATTTGTTGATTTCCAGCAAAACCATCAAAAACATCCTGATTAAGAGACTGGAGGGGAAGGTTGGATCAAGTGGATAACAGCAGCATAAACTTGTTTATGCCTTTATTTTCAGTCAGTTATTATAACGGAGCTGCAAAGTCCACATCAAACATGCAGCTGCCAGAGTCCTCATCAAAACAGAGAAAAGAAATTAAAATGTACTTCTATTTCTTTTATGTGATGTGCAAACTATAATATTATTTGTTCTTATGTATTTTGCATCTTGCTGTAATTCTCTTCTTCCACGTTCCTTTATTTTCCCTGTAAGGTACTTTGAATTATCTTCTGCACAACTGGTGCTACGCAAATAAACTTGCTTTGGCTTGCCTTTTGCTTTCACAACTATTAACATCTGGATTACAGTGAAGGACTCCATACCTGAAGAAGTGGTTGTTTCCCCATAAGATACGATCTCCATGCCATAGGTGCACCAAGGAGTCAACCACTGTACCATTCACACAGGTCCTGCAGAAAACACAAACATGTTAGTGGAGTTTCTAATCTTCATCTACAAGTAGGGAAAAATGGAATAGTTCAGCAGAAACCATCATTTTGCGAGAGGGAGGAAGACAAAGCTCCAGTATCAAAGTGTAGGAGCAGTTCATAAGCTTCCACAGCAGTGAGGTCATGAGAAACTCTGCAGGCCAGTCATCCATAGCGCAGACAGATAGGCAGAGAGATAGCAAGCACCCAGTTAGCCTTTACAGTAGCTCACCTGGCGTTGCCGATGGGCACCAAGGTGACATCGCCATCTGGGCAGACGTCCAGGGCACAGTGCTCCGGCTGAATCCCGATGCCAAAGAGCTGGATGTCCTGAGAGGTGTCTGCACCCACGCGGGTGTGCTCCTTCACACAGATGGAGAAGATATTGATCAAAGCAGAACAGCAAATCTGATTTAAACTGATGTATTAACCCATTGCATGAGAACATTTATAAAAATCTTAATGCAACAATCAATCCCTTACGTTGGGGAAAGGGAAAATTCAACGAGGAGCAGATTTAAGTGGGGTAAAAAGGGGAGAAAAAAAAGGCCTGTGCAGAGAGGGCACAAACATTCCAGCAAACAGAGGATGTTCTAGCCCATTTCACATCGCCTTAGTCATTCCTCACAGATACGCCGGGCTGGACTGCAGAGGCCAGACAAAGGGCTGTTGTTCTCTACGCCATGCAGACTGTTTTCTCACATACTTCTGCTATTACAGGTCCAACTAGCTGTTTAATGGTTCCAGGCCTGCTCTTACTGGACTAATTATTTTACTCTCTCTTCTATCTGAATAAATGACTCAGTTGTATTTTTTTTAAGGGAGTTTTGCCTCCTGTAGCAAATGTTGCACCAATGTTAGGATGTTTTTACAGACATTGTGCATGATGATGTAATACTTGATAACACGAGTGGGTTGTCACTATGTTTTCTAGCTCACTCTCGGAAAGAAAGAGCTAGAAAAATCAGCTGTTGACCAGAACTGGCCCAATTTCAGATGATCGGCAGGTTGGGAAACTCATAAAATCTGATCTGTTGGTGAACGCACCAGACCTGATTTCTAGCAGGCTGGCGGGAACAACAACACTCTTCACAAATTGAGGCTATGAAGAAGACTGAAAGTTAGCAATTTTAAGTATCACAGAGGAATTTGAAAAGAAACCAAACAAGCAAAAATGTTTAAGAAAGTTCTAGAAAGAACTTCTAGAAAGGAAGCCAGCTTGTTTTTAAAGGAGGCATGCTAGCTGTTCTTGTCAGGCTAGAAGAAACAAGAGCAAAACTCTTTGGGTTTGGTTGCTTATTTTTGCAAATTTGTCAATTACAAAACAGAGTTATTTCTGCTAACCACACTAAATATCCCATGGTAATGGCAGTTTGAAATATTTCCTTAATTTAAAAATGTTCTTAAAGCAGCAAAAATATATTCTATAACACACACACACAGGCACAGAGAGCAAGATGGCAATTTTGTTCATGATATAATGAACAGTTATAACAAGAAGACTGCGGAGAACTATTTTTAGAGCTTTTTAATTATTGTTTTGAAAGAGAAATCGGATTACGTTAAAGCTGAACAAAAATTGGAAATCTCACATTTGCTCGCAATTGCTGAGCAAATGCTACTTTAATCTCAAACTCTGGAGGTGACGGTGTCGTGATGGCAAAGACAGAGGAAACAGTTCTACCTTCAGATAATAAACCAGCAGCTCGTTCAAGGCAGGATCAGCATTCAGATTGACCAGGAAACTCTTGTCTTCTCCCACTTTGATTCCCGAGGTCTCCAAAGAGATACCCATGCTCTCCAGTTGCTTCTGTCGCTCCTGTAAACACAGATAATATCAGTGCAGCAGTGAAAGGCAGAGTCCAGCTGCTGAGGTTCCAGTGACTCATATCCATACAGTAGCAATCTCCTCGGTCTTCCTGAGCTTCTCTTCCCAGGTGACTGTCATCTCCTGAATGAGTTTCTCAGATTCCTGCAGTTTCTCCTTCAGCTCAGGTGCCTTCATGGACTGACGGAAGAGTGAGTGGGAAAAGAATCGGATCACGATCACTGTTGACTGGTGAACAGAGTCGCAATCTGTGATGGGCCACATCTCACCTCTGCCTGAGACAGCTGAACTCGAAGCTTCTCCACCTCCTCCCTGAGCTCCCTGATGATGCGAGCGTTGGGATCTTCATTCACCACAGCATGGTTGACAATCCTTTTGGCCCTGTCGGCATAACGCAACGTGGACAACGTCTCCTCGTAGTTATCAGCAGCTGGACTCACTGTGGCGATCATGGCTGTCTTACTGTTCCCACCAAGGTTATCCTGAGGTCAAGGTAAAAATACTGTTAAATATGGTGACACACAAGTGCCAAACCTCTCTTAAAAAAAACAATTTAATGGCGTCAATAACTAGTTAAAATATATGGAGATCTACAAGTGTCACAATTCCTTCAAAGCCATAGCAATTACTTTGTAATTATATTCACAATTTGGAAACCCAAAAGTGGCAAATTTCTGTGGGAGATAAATACTGAAATTATTTTTGGTCTGTCTCAATAATGACTTATAATTATGAAAGTAAAAAAAAAAAAAAAGCTGCAATTGATCTTTTCAGTCTGTCAGTAATTCACAAAAAATGTGAACTTGAACGTGCTACAATTAAATGAGATATAAATCATAAAATACACTTTAAAATGTCCCAGCAATTAATATGAAGGTCCAAAAAAGACATGATAAAATCATATGTAGATGATTTTTTGTATATATAAATTTAGCTAATTTCAAGTCAGACTAAAGAGTCAAATCAATGAGATTAGGTGATTTCACAATGAACTTACAAATTAATTATGAAATAACTACAGAAATTGTGAATTTTTCTGAATCAGTGTCTCATTTGGTTTCTAAACTATTTATTTGCACATTTAAAATGATTAAAGTATTAATATAAATAAATATTATCTATAAAATTACTAAATAATTTATATTTTATCTTTATTATTACACGTCTGAATGAATATTAAACTGTATATTTGTGTGTGTTTTTTTTACATTCTGGCAATTTGGCACTAGACGTAATTATGGGTAAATGTGTTTATATATCCTCAGTCTTATTTTAATAAAGACAAATTACACTTGTATTTATATTATATAGGTGTTTTTTTTTTTTTTTTTACTTGATAATGTTTTTGCTACGGAAACTTTCAGATAATTATACCAATCAGTTCTTAAAATGTGTAACAGCGGAGGGTTCAAACCTTCAGCAGCCAGGTGAGGACAGAGTCTCTGTAAGGCACAAACTTGGCCTTCCCCTTCCCCGCAGACTGATCGGCCAAAGCAGAAATCACACACCCCAATGTAGTAAGAGACCTAAAACAACACAAACAGTGCAGTCATCCAGTAAATAAATTCTCCTGACATCTCATAATAATAATCAACACATAATCAACATACTTGTTTATATTGCTGCCTTCCTTGAGTCGCTCGCCGGCAGCTCCAGTTTTGGACACACGCTCACTTCCTGCCAGGTCAACCAGACTCATTTTGCTCACTTTTTCCCCTGAATTCTGTTTGAGACAGATTTAAAGATCCAAAATGTGTTTTTTGAAAATTAAAAAAAACAAAACAAAAAAAAAACACAGCCACAAAGGCGTGAGAGAAGCAAAACAATACAAACTCCGGACTGCAGATCATAGAGTGTTTGCGTGACGATTATGCTGAAGACGGCGTGTGATCGACTGCTCTCCTCGTTCATGTTGGTTGCTGCGACTGTGCGTGACTTGTTTCCTTCAGACATTAACACTTCAATATCCTAAAGGGGGGGGGAAATCAAAAGGAAATAATGACGGAGAATGAATGTTTTTTTTTAGTCAGCGTGCTCAATAAATTCAGAGACTAATTTTAAGACTTCTTGTTATGACTGATGTAAATGCTGGAGGTTTTCACATGAGGCGTTATGGCATTTCTTCAAGCTTGGGTCACAACAGGCAGTAGAAAATCCACTGGACCCAGAACAGGCAACACAGAGCCCAGAGGAACAGGGTGGAGACGTTTTAACGTCACAGAGGAAGGACCTGCCAAGGCCTGGCATATAAACTGCATGCAACCTCATTACTGTAGCCACAGCAGGGATATGTCTCATTACGGCTTCGACATGGGAGGATTTTAAACTAAATGGTTATTCCGTAATAAATCAGCGGTTTGATTACACAAAGGTATTTCTGATGCACTTTATGAATCATAACAACATAACCAAGTGGATTCGGCTCTGGCTGTGTCACGACTGCACAAAAGAGAAAGACAAACCTCAAAGTTGGTAACAGCAAGTTGCGAGAGGCCGTCCACATATGGACCCAGAACTTTGTGTTCCCTAACTTTGAGGGACTGGCGGCTCCTGGGAAAACAGAGAAGGTTGGAAGGAATCAGGAGGGCAGAGGAATTTAGTTATTTCAAAAACAATGGGAGAGCTCTTATGACAAATGTATCGACTCTCCTTTCATTGAAGACCAAATAATATAAACTCGTCCTAATGACGTAAAGGCACATTAGACCGGACGTCATGTCAAAGATCATGCCGTATTATGTGATTACGCGACGCTTTGAGTCAACTATAGATTATAGCTTCAGTATGTCAATAATTGTAAACAAAGAAGCAACAGAAACATTGTGTGCTGCATGACTCTCTGCAAAATACACATTGTGAAAGAGTTTGTCTGTTCTCGGAAATTACAGAAAAATTGGTCACAAGCAGCGAGGTCTTTGAAGTGGACTTCGCTTTGTAAAACACAGGCGCAGGAGTTTGCAGCAGATTTCAGTCAAATCAACAAAACCCAACACCACAAGAAGCAAAGGGTGTAATTTTGAGGCTCGGTGGTAGGGGTCTGTTTGTGAAGATTGTGGCTGTACTAATAAGTGTTTGGCGTTTGACGGACTGACTCGAATAAAATGTTTCTGTGTTCTTTTGAAAATTCAGAATCTTTTCAGCAACATTATGCTACATTATGGCTCTTTTTTCTTCTTCATGAGCTTACGTCCTGAAATCATGTTTTTGTCTCAAGGTTTTTGCATTCTGTTTAAATTCTCCATACTTATAATAAAGTAGCAATCAAAATATTATTAGACTTGCTAAAGTCACATAATCTATATTGCATATTAATATTTAAAGTTAAGATTTATAGTTAAAAAGAAATAATTTCAAAATTTGCTAAACCTTTTCTGTCATATATCTCTGTGGATTAAAACACCTAAAATATAAAATGCATAAAGTGGTGCTTTTCCTGCTTTCCCATGTGTTGCTGCTTGCTGTCTGTTAGTTGTGTACAATGAGTGAATATAGAAAACCTTCAGAGCTTTTCCTTGATACATAAAGACAAAGTCACATAAAGCTTTCTGGGAAAAACAAACAGGAATAACTTACTGCACTATCGCTGGATTTGGTCCATATTTACACTGTTAAGGAACCGGTTCTACAATTACATGCACTAATGAATTCATACTTCCACTGGTGATATTACCACATCTACCAAGTGTTATATTCCCTATACACTAAAATCACATGTTAAAATAAAGACTTACTTAGATAGTTCTGACATGCTTACTGGCTTTATACTAATTAAGAGAATAAAACATTGTCATATTGTTATTGATAAGATATTTCTGAGCTTTCCTAGAAAGAGCCAAACCCCTTAAAAAATAAAAACATGCAGCTGTAGTCAAGTGGTCTTTAGAATAGAGTATTCTCTTGGTAACAGTATCGACTTTGAAACTTTGAAGTTGTTACAACCTTAATATGAAGATCGGTAGTTTAAATAAAAATATAAAACGTGATTTCATTTGGTAAATGGCCTGAATTCGTGTAGCTCTTCATTAAGTCCAAGGGCTTCGACACTGCTTTACATAACAATCAGTCATTCACAGATTCACACGATGACGGTCATAAGCTACACTGTAGCTACAGCTGCCCTGGGGCGGACTGAAAGAAGCAGTGCTGCCATTCAATTGGCGCCACTGACCACCACCAGCGGGATATTCGTGTGGAGTATTTTGCCAAAGGACACAACAACTAAGATGGAGTGAGTTTGTGTTTGGACCAAATACCCACGATTTACAAGATGAAGTTCTGCCTCCTGAGCCACTGCTGCCCAATGGGGCCATTTATTATAGAGAAAATTAACTATTTAAAAAACTTACTAAATAGAGTGCAGCTTTCATGTAAATGTGTTTTCTTTAATCAAATTTCCAAACTTCTGTTTCTTAAGCAAGGAAAAATGTTGGTAGCGTTGTTTCAGCCAGCTGACCAGTGGTGAGCAGCACAGCATTACAGGAACTCTGATCACTCCATCACTGACACCTCTTTGACAGGACTTCGAACCGTAGAACAGGTACGACGGAAACTTTTAACAGCTTCTAAATCTTTCCCGGTTGTGACTTTCATTAACACCTAGTGCGTAAGATTATGGTAATATGAGTATTGATCCTGTTCTACCTTTGTTAATTATTAATAAGTCTGTATCATATCTGCTTTTAACCCAAGTGAAACAGATGCTCCACTGCATGGGAAACCATTCTTCTTCAGCGTTCAGATATTGATACGAATCAGTAACCGAATCAGTGATCCTTGTGTCGTCTTTACTAATTTATGCAAAGCAGTAACCCTGGCAACTGCAGGACAATGACCAACTACCAACACACATGAGACATTAGTACTAGGGTGTACACCTCTCACTCCCAATGCTTCGTATCCAAACCACAGTAGGTAACGTGTTCTTGTCAGGACAGGACCAAGGCTCACAGTTTGAGCAGGAAGAAGATGCTTCAAAACCTGAATCTAGCTGCATCTTCAGACATCTGCAACCAACTGAGCAGTGAACTGCTGCTCCTGCTTGGCTGTTAGCCCACAGGGTCGATCTGACATCTATTATGATCCAACAGCCACAAACAGATGACCCTAAAGCATGCTCTTTCAGAGCTCACTCTTCCTCGCAGTCTGACTGCCAACCCACATCAGGCCACAGAGGCAAAGAATGCAACAGTGTCAGAGGACGATGCTAGCTGCTGTCCAGCAGGAAATGACTGGGTCAGCTTCCTACACACATTATTCTGTCAGCGTCCCACCATTCAGACTGGCAGACACAACAGTGACACCAGAGCGAAATGCCGTGTTGTGAACTGGAGTAAATCAACACCAGGTTTCTGGTAGCCAGCTGCTTTTCCGCCAGATCGAAAGCAGACCAAAATGTAAAGCTGACTAAGCTGCCGGGGCCACACTTACCCTTTGGGATCCAGCAGATCTCGGACCTTCTCGTTGTAGATCTCCATGTAGGACACCTCCACCTTAAACGTGTGGGCTTCGTTCTCCTCTTTGTGGACCCTCTCAAAGAGAGAGCAGCACAGCCGAGGGATTAAACCGGGCTGCTCTCCGTTTCCCATCATGGAAAAGGACTTCCCTGAACCTGGATTCATAGCAGATGTTTGTAAAAAAAAAAAGAGAGAGAGAAAGAGTCACACGGCATGGTGGATGTAAAAAACACTTCCATACTTCTGTAGAGTTCTCAATGTTCACTATCCTTTTTAGAAATATTTAAAGAATAAATGGACTATGATTTTATGGCTGACTGGTTGGACTTTAAATACAGAACCAGTAAAAACAGCAAAATAGATACATGAATGGATGGATGGATGGATGGATGTTTCTTAAAGCTACTGTTTTAAGAAACAGCAGTTTTCTTAAAACTATTTAAGAAAACACTTCTTCGCCTTTTATATGTCCTAACTGGAAAGTATTTGGTGAGGAGAAATTAATTATTATCCCTTTTTTACCACAAGAAAATCTTGAAGCCTGCAACTAAGGCATTTTAGATCAATTTGTTAAGTGTAAACAGAAAGGATTATCCAACAATCCAGCAGGAAAAACAGCATTTCAAAAGTTTTTTTTTTCTTATTACCTGTTTGTCCATAGGCAAATATGCAGGCATTGTACCCCTGGAATGCATTTTCAAGTATTCCCTCTCCAAGGCACTTGAACACCACCTCTTGACCTTTCAGAGAAAGATTCGGTCACCATGGAGATCAGGATAAACAGTCTTCACCATTATCAGGTTGTCTCGCTAGTCTGCGAAACCAGTACAGAGATGTGTATTGACAAGGTCCACAGAGCGCTGAATAAGGGTCTGACAGATTCCTGTCTGGTCGTGTGGAAAATGTAAAGCTGTGCAGAGAAATCTTTCTTGTTGCTCGCTGCCGTGGCCCCGTTGAATGGGACAGCTGTTTAATGAGCTAAATAAAGCCTTGGCTCGGGCCCTTGAGGCAGCCATTCACTGAGCAGACTGCCCGCTCGGTTCAGCACAAAGTAAACGCAAGCTTTATACTTCTGTCTCACAATGAGAGAAATATGGCAAAGCAAGTGTTCAGAAGGATTATTATGGGAAAGTTTTATGGATTTGTTTTAACATAACGCCGGTTAGAGAGCTGAAAAGTTTCTGAGGAGGCTTCATTTACAACATTAGAGAGCATGACACTCCAAGACGACGACGTAGGTAAATGTCTTACATGCTTTTATATATATATATATTTTTTTACTTGGAAGAAAACAAGCGCCAACTAATTTCATAATGTAGGTATCCAAAACCCAAATGATCCTATTTGTCCAAATCCTGCTAAGGCCTTGCGTCCCATCAAGGCTGGAATTTCCCTGCCTATCCAGTGGAAACACGAAGCTCTTCACATAGGCCTGCTTCATCATCTGAGGTCTTTCGGATGAGTGCAGGATCGGTGACTCACCGGCATATTTGGGAACGTTGGATTCATCCATGGACCAGAAACAGTGGTCAAAAGCGAACACCTGCGAAGGAGATGGAGACAGACAACGTAAACATGGACTGTCGCACCTGTTGGAGCACGCCGGGCGCAAAGAAAACCCCGAGCGCACAGAAAGCAGGGATTATTATACAGCTTTGTACAGTCAAACAGCAGGACGGGGCTTGTCTGAGAGAGTAAGACGAAACCCGAGAGGCTTTGTTTGAGGTGACATTCATCGGGGTTGGACCGTGACTGTCTGCGTTAGGCAGCAGAGAGTTCTGTCTGTTGCGGTGGAATGAATTCATAAATCAGTGTGTGCGCTTCCGAGGAAAGAATCCCAGCACCCGGTGACCCTCATCTCCAAGGAAACTGGGCCAAAGCTGTTCCCAGTGCTGGAGGGCTGGCTCTTGGCTTTCAGGCCCAGGTCTCGCAGCACAGACTTTAACAACAGAAAGGCCCACTATCCTCCAGGCACCTGCAGGAACACTGGGCGAATAAGGCACAGAGAGAAGGCTATCTCAGACAGAGCGGCCCCCGCTAGTTTGCATGCAGCATATAATCATTTGTGCATCTCTAATTTCATAATAAACAGCCTTGGTGAGATTCGTCTGTGTTTTCTTATGTGCCAGTTGCAGTTCAGCAGGACTTAAGTCATAGCAGCCCAGAGTGGACACAGACATGTAACATTTTTCTTGCACTAATAAGGATTTTTCTGGCCGATACTGATTTCGGATTTACTTTCAGGTGTGCCACATTGCAGAGAAAAATGTTTTGTCAAACGGGGTTTTGATAGCGGTGGTGTTAACATATGTTGCTAACATTTGTACTAAACTCAAAATCAAGTGGAATAAAGAACATGTTGCCTGGGGGTCGGTCAACACTGATGCCTTTAATGAACTGGAAAAAGTTAAGAGTCATTAGGATTTGATCTTTCAATGACCAATCAAAGCCCATCAAAAGAAAAAAAAATTCTCCCTCTCATCTCTGGTGCATCTCTGACTTAATCTGGAAAAGATCAAAAGCTCCACAATTTGTGCAGATTAGATGTAAAACGTGTTACTTCTGATTTCTCTTTTGTTTTGTAGATACTTTTTGTAATATTTCAAACTGCTCTTTTTTAAATGAAACCAGTAGAAATGTTGTCATTTTTCTAACGCGTCACATCTGGGAATTTTCTCACTCGATTTTTGTTGCATAAAAAATCAGTTGCATACTCATCCTCAGATTGCACACAGGGTCTCCTCCCTGATCTTTAGTCTGCTGCGGTAGCACTGCCAAAACACTTTCCCTCCCAACACAAATACCACAAAATAATTGAAACTCCCTCCTAATCACCAAAAGGCCTAATGGCCGGGGAAAGCCGTGGCTGCACAGTCAGCATGGGAAGCTCTGAGATCCCTGAATGCACTGAAAGCAAGACTTCCTCTTGTGACTTCAGACAAGTAAGTGGGTGCCATTCAAAGGAACAAAAGTGCCATCATTCTCAATTAGAGCTGGTTTGGAAAACTGGGGCTCCAGTGCCCTCTGTTCTGTCTCCGTCCAGCCGGAGGGTGTGATTACACAACAGATTAATCTTGATTGGACAATTACTATTAATCAGCAGTAAAAATCATGATGATGCAGAGAAGGAAAAAGACACATTTTTAGTCAAAAAAAACAAGCTAGTTTTCTGCGACTGCACTGAGGAATGCAGGAAGGATGATTTGAGCGTCATAACTAAGCAGACGGCCACGTGTTCGTCTTAGTGGAGGGTTATTACGGGGCAGCTCAGGTTCGCATGCCCCAGAGACCATGCACGCCCACAGTCCAGTCAGGGAGGGGCGGGCGGTGGGGGGTAGGGGGTGCCTGAGTGAGTGTACCGAGCACAAAGCCCGTCCCTGGTGTGTGAAACATCTCTGAGCTAGTCACCAGCATGTTGCCACGGGGGGAAGTGGGGGTGCGCTGCAACAATGCGGCATTCAATGAGCGCACAAACAGCCCCAATGTCCGCACTCATCCCTCTCTCATTGTGGAGCCTTTGTGGGTGTTTGGGAGATCTCAGAGTGCTGACACATTCACACGGACATCTATCTGGCTCCTGCTGACCCACCGATCGACCAAAAAAAAAAAAGCTCAATCACGTCTGTAGAAACAACGTCACGATGAAGAATCGACCTGTGCAGGAGAAACTGTCTGGCCTTTTGGGTCTGTTACTTCTGGATGTTTTGATCTGTGAGTAACAAATGTCTGTCGAATAAATGGATAAAACATACATACCTTGGACTGTTTCCTGTTGAAGCAGCAGGTCAATCCATCACACACAGGGGTGAGTGAGCAGAAAAAAAGAGACAGAGAGGGAAAAGAGGTTAGAATTCACACAGGACAAATTCATTTAAAATAAATCCTTCTCTTGTCATGAGGAAAATGCTTAATTTTGATATAAAAGACACTTTCTCTTCAAGTTACATCTTTATTATTCTCTTGTTTTTCCCTCACTTCCACTAAGTAAGTGCACGGCTGGTTCTGGTGGAAGGTGCTGCTGTGATTGGGTTCATAATTGGGCCAGTGGAGCGTGAGGAAGGGAAGAGATTTAAGATTCAATGTCCCACTGACTCTGTTGAATAAATAGCTCTTATTCCTGTGGACTTAACACAGAGGCCAGTTTGGGGAAGCTGCTCTCTCCACCACCAGCAGCCGCCATCGAGGACAAAAGAGCCAACTATACGTCCCTGTGTTTCGTAAGGTTGTCCTCTGAACTCAAGGAACTTTTTTCACATTTTGCTGATGGCACCATTAACTTAAATATATACCTCACAGGATCATTTCACTTTCATTTTAGAAAATCTGAAGCGTGGTGTTAAGCTGTGTTTCTTCCAGACTGCCAAGCTTGAATCCTGCCGAAGAGAAGGATTCCCGAAGCACGATGCTGCCTTTGTGCCACTAAAATAAAACGTGCTGAATTCACACACAAGATACACTTTTCAGATTTTAGCAGTGAAAACGTTTTAAAAACTATGTTTACCCATTTTTAATTTTTTTTTTTTTTTAACAATCATGCATGACTTTACATCTGTCTATCACATGATAGGCTGTTATCTGAACCGAAGCTAAACAGCTCCTTGACTCAGGTTACAGGCCCTTGCTGCATGCGGATAAACTGCAATCGTGCTGTGCTATATTGTGCACAGCAGTGTATTAAAATACACCTCCACCCCTGGCGATTCAGCCGGTTCAATCCTTCTGCAGTCAGCACATCCTTCCTGCAGAACTCCTTTGGCACAGAGACAAGGGTTGGCATCAGGTTCACATGGTAACTAATGCAGGGCAGGGTGCATCAGGAAGACTCCAACTCGCCCTCACCCCCCCACCCCCCACCTCCAGAGAGTCTCACACAAATCTGAGCTGAGTCACCGACTAGAGAGCTGCATCAGAGGATACCCACACCCATCCAAACAAGAACTGTTCTCTATTCAGACCTGCTGTTGCCATGCAAAGTGTTCTGCTCAAAGCAAAAATGATTATCTCCTTTATATGATACATGTGAGCCTGGAGCTGTGCTTGAGCTCTTTATAATGAAGGACAGGATGATTGTGAGGGAAGCGGGGAGTGATGGTGGGGGGATAGGGGGGCAGGGGTTCATAATCCTAATTTAATCTGAGACCTTTGCGTTTAACACAGTAATTAATTTAAGCACCTCAAGATCTTTGACTTATAGTCTCCATCCACATGCAAGGAGTCAGTATCATTTATGGGGCAGAATCAAAGTTCCTTCAACTCTGAACTGAAATGTTATTTTTTTATTCATTTCAGAAACATTGCAAAATTTTCCTGTGACAACAACACAAGGAAAGCCTTTTAGTTATTGCGTTTGAGTTGAGCTGGGGCTGATCCAGCACCAGCGGTGCCGTGCGCAACCCACTCCTTCAAAGACATGCTGTGGTGGGCGGCCGATTAAAGTCATCAGACTGAGGTAGAAGTATTTGAGCAGAAGTAGCAAATCCCTGTCACAATCCTGGGCTGTTTGGGTTTCTTAGTTTTATCTTCCAGTTCTTTGTGTATTTGGATTTATTCTCTTAAATTCTGTGTTAGGTGTAACTTCTCTGTCTTCAGTTCAACTCTGTTTGTGTTAATTAGTTTCTTCCCTTATTTCCTGCTTTCTCTCTGTTCCTCGTCACCACTGATTAGCTCACCTGGTTCCTTTGCCATTCACACTCCTGGCTCAGTTTTTAAGCTCCTTGTTTTGGTTTTATTATTGTTAAAAACTCACCATGTCATCATTTTGACTCTAGTTTTACCTTCTTTTGGCACAAACTACAGCAAAATGACAATCCGCTTTTAAATATTACCGTTTTGTCACCAAATTTTTACTGTTTCAACAGCAAAAAATAACGTCTAATCTTATATGACTTGGCTCGTTTTCAGGGACTCCAAAACATCCTGATTGTGATATCTTGAACAACAAGTAAAAATAATGTGTGATATGATGCATCGCAGTGAAGTATCATTAATATTATTGCTACTGACCTCAGCTGAGATAAAAAAAAAAAATAATGACCTTGTAATGACCTTGCTAATGAAAAGTTGTAGGAAGTTGTATAAACAGACAACACATACTCGAGCAAAACATGACTTAAGTGAAGGAGCAATACTTTAAACTGATGGGGATTGGGGCTTTTTTACATTTATTTTGGCACTTAAAAAAGTCATTTCTTTTCTTTTTTTTGTTTTTGCTTAGTTTTAATCTTGTGGGCAGCACATTTTATTGCTTAAATCTGTTTTTCCTGTACTGACCACTTATGACAAAGACAGTGACGAGATCTAACATGTCAATTCATACTGTAGACATGACAGGATGTCCAGGAAGAACATCAGCCTGTAATACAGATAAGCTGCAGACAGCTCAAGTCCTTGAAACTACAGTCTCATTTCCCACGGTCAGACAATGAACGAGGTGTCAAAGCATAAGTCAAAAATAAACCGGCTCAGTAATTCACAAGAACAAAAATGCTGCCCAACAAAGAAATACGAGGAGAGAGGGAAATTTATAGAAACCACACATAAAATGAAAAACGGGACTAAAACACCCACATGTGCAGCTTTATGAATAAACCGATCAGCATTTGCAGCAGAAAACGAGCCGCCACGGTGTTGCTGCTGCAGTCTGTCGCCTCCTGCTCATTGTTTAATCTGTTGTATATGTACAGTTAATGTCTCCGGCTCTGGTATGCCTGGAATGCTCCGCATGACAATGGGAGGAACAAGATTTATTTAAGATGTTAGAATATAGCTTCCTGAGACATTCTCGTTTTTATTTCAACAAAAGACTTCTTCTAAAACTCAAGGGTTCATCTAAACTGCCTCTCCTTATCGAAAACCTCCCCCCCCGTCTCATTAAGGTAAAGCACATTAGGCTCCAGTTCTCCCACTCTGCTGTGGAAATAAGCTCCCTAATCCCCTCAAAAAGCCGAGTGCTCCTCAGAATTCGCGCAAGCTTTAGCACAGTCTGTCCCCCGTTTCTTCCCTAAAATTGGGATTTTCAGGTAATTATACTCATATCTAAAATAGCACTTTCAGGTGAAGATTCTGACTTTGTGTTACTATAAAAACAAAAGTGTTTCACCGCATAGTCTAACTATATTTTTACTGTTTTCTTCATTTATCTGATTGTGACTCAGTGAGTCGACTGTAAACCACTGATCTCTATTATTATTCCAGCATGCATGTCACATTAGATGCCGAGAGCTTATTAAAGACACAGTTTTGGCTGTATTAATGTACATGTTTGGCCCAGAAGTGCCAGATAGCATCAGATTCGTACGCGCCTGGAGGCAGACGCACTCAGCTGCTGCCTCAGCTTTATCAGAGGCTGGCTGAGGTCTGTGTGGTCTGCAGGGAGCGCTCCAGATAAATTACCTGATGCTGAGACAGTTCATAGGAACTAACTGGGTGAAAAATTGTCTTTCATATTTTGTTTGTCTTTTTTCGTCTAACTTGGAAAAACATCCACGAAGACAGGAGGATGTTTCTGAGTTCTCTGGTTGTAAAAAGCAAACTGAATATCTTTTTAATTTTGCTGTGTTTTATGCCGAGGCGACTTTTACATTAACTTTTAGTGTTTTAAAATGAGTTTAAGAATCATTTTAACTGAATCAATATTCATGTGATGCACCTTTTTAATTATTTTATTAATAATTTTATATTTTAATCCATTTTCCTTAGAAACCTATGTATCTATAAACGTAGTACATGAATGTATTATTTTTTTGTAATTAATAGATTTTAATTTTTGTCATTAATCCTGGCTAATTCATTAGATTAAGGATTATTTAGATTTATTTGAGTATCATTTTTGTTTTTAATTAATAAGGTCAACATTATCATTATATTGATAATAGTAGTTCTATTAATTAAGATTTGTTGCTTAAATAAGAAGATTTAAATTGTAAAATGCACCTTGAAAAAAATTATTATTATTATTTTTATTTCATTTGAGCATTTGTATGAAGAGTGGAGCTGCAGCAGAGGAAACCCCGCACACTGCCCTAGTGGCTACAGAGTTGGATTAAGGCCACTGGGTTATTATGCCACCGAAAACTGCACTCTTCCAGCCCAGCAGGCAACAAATCCGATTAATCTACTGTATCATCCGACTACTGAGCCATCTATCCACGCAAAATAAAAAATTACAATGCAAGGCTGAGCTCACAGACGTTTTAGACAAACAGTTTGCATTTTTTTGCAAATCATTTGATTTAAACCACTATCTATAAACGCCCTGGAAGCGGGGCAATTAAAAACAGCGATTATTATCAATTTTAAAATGTACTTTAGCAAATAAAGAAAAAGTTATGTTTATATAATGTTCTATATTTTAGGAAGATTTTTACTTCTGCCTAAATAGCAGCTCTCATCCTATTAGAAAACGCAGCATTATCTTCTCCTGTGCAAATGCACACATCTACAGTATGAGATATTTCACCACCACTCCCCGTCACATATTTGTGCCCCTCCTCTTGATCTATTCTTGCAGCTACTTCCACCCCTCCACCCTTTTAACCTCCCTTGACCCCCAACTATGGCGTATTCCCAGCATAAGCAGCCAACAAGCTTTGAGACAATGACTTTTCAAACAGCAGTGCAGCGGAAACCTCTCAAGAGTTTAACAGCAGAGCTACAGCACTGTGCAGCTATGAGCTAACATTTAAAATAAGCTTTCAGTGTTTTAAGGACAGGACACTTGAGTTTCCAATAGAGGTCATCCTGCTGCACACACAGCAGGCAGTGTTACAGTAGAG